CTCAGGCTGGGCTCAGGGTGGGCACAGCAGGAATTTGCCCATGGAAAGGCTGCTCAGGCCTTGGCAGGGGCTGCCCAGGGAGCTTTGCAGTGCCCATCCCTGCAGGTGTCCCGGGAAGGGCTGGAGGTGGCACTCAGGGCTCTGGGCTGGAGACAAGGTGGGCATCGGGCACAGCTGGGACTCCATGGGCTGGCAGGGATTTTCCCAACGTTGATGATTTTGTGACTGTTACCTTGGTGGAGTGAATGCAAAAAGTAATATTTAAAATCCCTGAGGAAATGAAGTCTCAGAGGAAACACTGCAGCAAACACAGGGCAACTTGTGTTTTGTGCAGGTGGACAGGCCTTGGTGTTTAAATTGTAGGGACACTGGTAATATCTGATACTTGGCTCCAGATGTTGCATTAGTAGCCACAGATTTAAAGATAACTCTTGATATTGTCAAAGGGCCTAATCATGTTCATTTTCCATTCTTTATTATTTATGTCAAATGTTTTATTTTAATACTGCACTACACATTTGTGTCCTAAAGTTTAATATGTGTAATCACACAGCCAAATGCAACAGATGTGTCAGTTCTGTGGTGTATTAAAACCACAAAAATAAATGAAATGGGCTCTTTGCTTGTACTCTTGAATTATCCATTTGAGCATTTTAAATGGCAGACTCCTTCTAATCCCCTGACAGCACCTGGAGGGGTGCTGGTAGATCACCAAAGGGATGGTGGGAGGACGTGACACATGACACTGGGGCAGGATCTGAACTCAGACAAATGAAATCTGTCAGGCAGCTCCTCACAGCCTGCCACAGCTCTTATCAGTGCTTGGTTGAGCTGGCTTGATACACAGAGTTATTGTATTATTTGGCTGGTTTGATTTTCCTTTTTGTGACAACCTTACCCTGGAGACCATCCATCTCTTTGCACTGTTGGAGAATGACTCAAACTGAATGATATTTCAATATAATTTATAGTCCTACGCTGTAAACAGAAGTGATGGTTGCTTCTAAGCACTGTGAAGAATTCCAATAGGTACATTGGACTTTTGTTTTCTTGAAGGGTTGAAATACTTTAGAAATACTTTGGGAAATTTTTCATAGCCTAGAGTAGTAAGTTTAATAGCTATGAAAAACCCTACAAAGGTCAGGAATTTTTTCCATATATGCCCTGGCTGTTAATGGTGCATGTGAACAACTACAGCTGCAACAAATTATTTGCCAAAAATTGAAATGGTAGCTATTATCAGCTTTCAGCTTAAAAACACAGCTTTGATCAGACATCCTGAGAGGAACATCCCCCAGCCTGTGCCCATTCACTGTTGAACAGGTTCAGTTTTCACTCCTCCCCATGAGCAACATCCTATTTTTGCTCTGATTTCCAATAGAAATAATGATATTTCAAATAACAAATTTGATTGATCAATCATTTTTAACTGCATAGCATAAACAAAAGGTTTAGTGTTTATATAAGCTGGGGCTGCCCCTGGATCCCTGGCAGTGCCCAAGGGCAGGTTGGACAGGGCTTGGAGCAGCCTGGGACAGTGGAAGGTGTCCCTGCCATGGCAGGGGGTGGAACAAGATGAGCTTTAAGGCCCCCTCCAAGTCAAACCAACCAGAGTCTTGGATTCTGTGCAATAATTAAAAGTAAATTTTAGCGTATGGAGTTTTCTTTTACTCTAATTGTTCATCAAGTTTCAAAATATTTTCTAAATATACCACAGAAATATTTTTTAATGAAGCAGCTTGCACTTCAGTGTTTTATTTTTCATTTTAATAATGTAGTTACATGTGTAAAGTACAAAGACAGGCAATGTACAAAGGCTGTAACTGAAATAGAAATGTACAATGTAACACAATAGTGATCCTATTAAGTAATTCTATTTGCTGATGCAATAGAAGGCAAGTCAAAAATGCACAGTCTTTTTTGTACACCTGTCAAATGGCTCTATAATAATTCAAATGCTGACAACAGGCATTGTTCTCTGACGGGCAAACAAAGCAACTATTTCGGTGTTTGATCCAATTTTTTTGATTGTGACTATGTTAAATGACATACTGCATCAAACATTTACAAAAAAACAAGGGGAAAGGGTTTTTTCTATTCCATATTCAAATGAGCTAACAAGTGCTGGCACATTCCCAGGTGCCAATAGCTCATCAACAAACACTAGAAACAACTCGCATCATCTCCTTGACTAAATTTGGGAGTTTTTGTGACCAAAGTTCTGCCCCAGCCTGGGCCAGCCCAGGAGGGACCTGGAGCTGCTCAGAGAGCCCAGAGGAGGCTCCAGGATGAGCAGAGGGATGGAGCAGCTCTGCTGGGAGGAAAGGCTGGCACAGCTGCCATTGTTCACCTGCACAGGAGAAGCTTTGGCTGAGCTCAGGGTGGCCCTGCAGGGCCTGAAGGAGCTGCAGGAAAGATGGAGAGAGACAATTGCCAAGGGCTGGAGGGACAGGAGCCAGGGAATGGCTGCCAGTGCCAGAGGGCAGGGCTGGCTGGGATCTTGGTGTGAGAGATGAGTAATGTGATGATTGACTCTCACAATTAACAGACAAATAGCATGTATATAGGTTAAGAAAAGTTTCATAGGTTCATAGTTCTGTTGTACCCCCTTGTGTGGCTATCAAGGGACATCTGGGAGGGCTGGCTTGTCACTGTGGTGACATCTGAGCTCCAGTCAGGATTTGGGAAGAGATCTCCACCACTGGACAGTGAAGAAGGGGTCATGGACAGAACTTTGGGAGGGGTTAAAGGGTTAAAAGACCAAATCTCCAATGTGTGGGTGAGCACAGGGTGGGGAAATCCTCTGCTCTAAGCTGGAACCTTTTTCTCTATTCAGTTTTCTGTTGTGTTTTTGGCAAGGTTTAATAAACCTTTCTAAATTATGAAAAGTGAGTAACCATTTCTCACATTGGGAATGAGGAATTGTTCCCTGTGAGGGTGGGCAGGCCCTGGCAGGGCTGGATGGGATCTTGGGAATGAGGAATTGTTCCCTGTGAGGGTGGGCAGGCCCTGGCACAGGGTGCCCAGAGCAGCTGGGGCTGCCCCTGGATCCCTGGCAGTGCCCAAGGCCAGGCTGGACACTGGGGGCAGTGGAAGGTGTCCCTGCCATGGGATGAGATGGAATGATCCTTCCAACCCAAACTCTCCTCTGATCCCATGGAAGGTGAGAGGTGAATGCATTTCCTAATGTCAGTTTGATTGATCCTGTTTTAATGAACAGAAGCACCCCCGAAACAATTTATTTCCTCCAAGTCCCCATTCCCAGCTCTTTGCCGACAGATTGTTCTCATATGTTAAGCACCCAGATGTCACTTAGCTCATGCTGTAATTAGAGAAGAAGAATTAACAATGTTCCTAAATGTCTGAATTCTCAGATTTGAAAGAGTAAAATGCTGCTAAGAGAGATTTCTGAGGCTTCTCCTGGTCATGGAATGCTGCAAGGTGGAATTCCAGCATCACTCTCACTAGGTTGTGAGGTGATGGCAGTCAGGTATTGAAAACTAAACTCACTGAGCTCCCAAATGAGACAGATCTCTTGATTATTTGACATTTGGATGTGTTTGGATGGCAAAGCTCAGCTGTTAGTAACTGTTACCTGTTCTTGCCTGGTCAGTGTAAATCTTCTTTACATCTTTCCTATGAGACCTTCTGTGGTTTTATTTTGGATTTTTTTCTCTGAATTCAGTTAGTGCCAGCTACATGCAGATTTCAGCAAAACTGTGTTCAGAGAAAAAAATAATTAATTAGTGAAGCAGAGACAAATTCATCCAGGCTGACAATTCCCTAAAGATGATGATTTACATTCAATCTCCTCTCTAACTCTGCCTTGGACTAACTTTTGGGCCAACAATAAAACACAACCAGAATTTCATCCACCCACAATTTAAGGATTTTAGCTCTTTGTTTTCCTTTGCTTTTCAAAGAGATCCCTGAAACAAAATGGGGTCATTTCATTTGCAAAGCAAAATCAATTAAACTTCTGAAGTTCTAGAATTGATGGAGAAAAAGTGGCAAGTTTTAGCTTTAATTTGATCTGCATAGTTTTTCTTCATTTTTATTGCCTGGTTCAGTACCTGAATCAGAAAATAAATCATTCACAGAGCCCTAATGATGTTTTCCTTCAGAACTAAGATTAGGCCATACTGATCCCTGAAGAGATACTAACAACTGCACTGTCCAGGAGGGGGAGTAATCCTCTCAAAGATTGTTAGAGAAAATAATATGTTAAAATGATAATAAATGAATAAAATTTATGTAATAAAATTATAATATATAAAAATAATATGTTAAAATAATATGTTAAAAATGCTAATAAAGTAGCCAGTCTCCTGGCTACTTTATCTGGAGAAGAATATCTGTATAAAAATTAAAAATAATTGTTTGCTCCTCAGTCAGAACTTATCAAAGAGAAAGTTTGTGTATTTTGTCTTTTCCATAAAAATCTATGTATCATAAAACAGCTCTTCTGAGGAAATCTTTGCATCTTGTCTGGGAGTGCTGGTGCATTTTTGCATAAGCATTTCGTACTTGTGAATAAGCAGCAGCTTCTATAGCCCAGAGTGGCACCACAGCAGTGTGCATGCAGCACCCAGCAAATAAATCCAATTTTCTGTCAGGTTTGGGAGCCTTTTTCTGCACTGTTTTATGGCTATCATGGCTTTACCTGTGAAACATATCTGAAACAGTTAAATCATTTTATATCTATGGAAGATTATCATGTGAAGAGATGCTTTATACA